GCATGTGTAAATTGCTTATCTAATTTTCCAAGTGAAAATGATAGTGAGAAAGGGAAAAGGTTTCATAGAGATTTTTGTCAAATAGAAATTGTATTAACATTATGGTGAGGATCATATTATTCCATTGCCCAGTGAGAGTAACACCTGAATAGCTTATTCAGTAGTGTTAAAAAACAGGCCACAGGATTGCAAAAAAACAGGCCAGGTTTTTAAGTCTGGCTTCCTGTCACTGCAGGATGTTATATTGTACTTTACATGTACTTAGGTTGCTCTATTTTAAAAGGTCATTCAGTATTTGATCCCTACCTTGTATGGAATGATTGTTCCCAGTACTTCTGTCACTGGGAACCCTGTCTTTATTTACAGACTGTATTTGCTTGTGGCTGGGTGTATTTATGGAGAGCAGTCTCAATCCACTTCTCAACCTTGTTTTGCAATCCAGGCTCTTATAGCGACTTGTCTTTGGATAAAACACTTAAATTCTGATGATCTGTAGCCTTCCATTTCACCTGTTTCAGTCTGAGGTGATCTCTCTGACACATCATTTAGTGAACTTACTACCAGTATTCCAGAAGAAGCTTTGTCAAAATCTGTCTTTTGTTTTTACCTTCTAGTTCTATTTTGAATACTGGAAAACAGGAACATGTTTGTATGAATAATTGTTTCTGATTTTTCCAACTGTATCTTGGCTGCAGACCTGACTATATCTGTACAGAAACAAAAATAAATGCATCTAAACAGAGAGATAATAGTCCCCAGATCTTCAGGGAAACACTGCAGCAAAGTATGATTGAAGAATTACTCTGAATGCAAAAAGTTTACTGAATTGAGGTCATAGTGTGCTAAATAATGTTGAAGTTAATCCAAATAAAAAGTAGGGAGAAATTCCATGTTGGCATTAGTCTTCCTGTAGGCAAACCACACTATTCACAAGATGGTGTCTTCACTGGTGCAAAAACAGTAGAATTCCACTGTCATTCCTTTCAGCTACTCTTGACAGAGCATTATCTTTCTATATTTCAGACTGGTGTTGTATCTTAATATTTCATCACCTTTTACCTGGGCAACAAATGCTCTGAACAATTAAATGCTCTAACATATACATGGTATTTCTACGGGGCAATATGAAAAGCTGAGAGCCTGCATTAACTACCAGTTCCCTTAAAGCTGATGTTCCCCTCCTAAATCTTATTTAATGGACTTGATTGTTTAATTACAGTTTTTCCCTTAATAGTTTTTATCTTGTATATGAACGTTTGGCAAAGTGTTATGTAATGAAGAGTGGAACAGCTTTAGAAATGTAAAAATCAAATAAAAACTCGCTGGCTCACTAAAAAATTAAAGTCTCTCTGAGACTGTAAGTAAATACATTTTGCATGCAGAAAAGAATGAGAAATTGCACAGCCTGAGCTCAAAAAGTTTTAATGTTTCACTAAGATAGTGGTCTTCTTTAGTGCATTGGTTCCATTTCATGACATTTTCAAGATTATATTATTATGACATTCTCCATCAAATATGGCACATCAGAAAGAACTACTTTCAAACCCTGGAGCTGTGCACAAACAGGGTCTTTCTGCCTTCACAACCAAAAATGCAAGCATCATGAACATTCAACAGAAGAGTGGTCTGCGCTTAGCCTGTATATTGCCAAACCAGCTAAGAGGAATTGGTGATGTTAATAGTCATTTAGCCTTGTCACACTGCAGGGAAATTTAAAAAAGTGCGTGGGAAGGCTAATTTAATGCAATTGGTGGGTGTCTTTCCACTGGCTTCCTAGAGCACTGAGACTGGGCATATTACTGATGGTGCTCATATCATTCTTGCTTTGAAAATTATGAAAGTGAAAGATTTTAGTTGCAGTTTAGTCATTATGTCTTCCTGACGATTTGTCTACTGTGCACTGTTTGTGCACCATTTTCTTTCTGTTCCTCACTTCTCTTTTGTCAGCTATTTGTATTCTGAACACACAGGATTTGTTTTAACATACTTCCTTTGCTTCATTAGTTAGCTCTATGCATCTCTTTCCGCTTGTTTAAAAAAAACCCAAACCAAAACAAAACAACTTCATACTCTTCAACTGGTGAAGCTATTTGATTTTGAAGAAGTCAAATTTAGATTCAGATGGAGGCTGTTTACTTCTAAGTATGGCTCAGTTTTGAGAGGTACTTAAAAGATCAAATATAACTGAGCTTGTATTAAATTGATTTCAAGTCCTATTAACCCATCTTAACATTGAGAAGCAATCAGTATCTCTTCTTTAAATACTTTAAAAATGCTTTTTCTTGCAATATACAACAAAATATCCCCTTTCACTGCCTCCCGTATTTGCAGTGTATAAATAAGAAATTATTTAGTGAAGAAATTTGGCCAGAAAGTGGGTGAAAAACAGGGTCTTCATTGTGTTTTGAGGATCAAGATGTTTCTATTTACATTCAGTTCTAAGTGCCATTTGTGTATCATGTGTGACACATTTGAAAGGAAAACTGCAAGTATATCCAGAAGATGTGATGCTTATTGACAGGTGAGTATAATAGGGATGGTTGTGTTAGATCTCCTCCAAGTGTGTATATTTAAAGTGTAAGTTGTGTTAATGCTTTGACTAGCCATCCGGAGCAAAGGTGGTGGTGATGGTTTTGTAGGTGAAAAGAGACTGTGTTCGTCTGGTGAGAACAGTAAGTATGATAGCCATCTGGCTTCTGAGTCACTGCCTCCTTCACAAATTATTTTATTTTTTTGCTTAGTAGTTTTTATTATTCCATCTGGGTGGGTTTTCACAGCTAATAGGAGTTTTCTGGCAAAGTTAATACTTTTTTTTTGGGGGGGGGGGCTTGGTTTGTTTCCCCCACCCCCCCACCCCCACCCCTAAATTCTAGAGAGCTAAGAAAACAACTCCCTCTGGGGAAAAAAAGAAGTGCTGGTTCAAATGTATACAGGGAGGATCCTACCAAGTCTGTTCTTTGCTTTCAGAGTGTAGAGCTTGCTTAGTTCAGACTTTTTGTAAAGTTTTTTCTTCAGGTTGAGGTAGTACAAGTAACAGCCAGATCACCTGCCACCTGTGGTAATTATGATTTCAGAATGGGGTAGAGAGGTGATATTTGCTGCATGAGAAAAGGAAAAATAGTTACTACGTGGTTAGTAGTTAGTAAAATACTGCTATAGTATCATACAGTGTAATAAACACTATTAATCTATGTTGTGATGTTAATTTAGGTCTGATGAGTAACAGAAGGTATTAAGTGGCATGGATATTTTTCTGCAGGTGTTCTAAGCACAGTTATAGGATCCAGAGCTTAGAGAATTTTATAGCATAGTGCACAGGTATAGAGTAAACATTTGACTAGGAAACTTTTTCCTCACAGTGTCGTGGACTTGGAAGGTCTGGATTGGGCATGCTTCCTTGGCATCCAACACAAGGCAGATGTTTTCTACCTGTACAGCTATGTATCATTATATAATGGAATCTGGATAGTATTTCATTTTAAATTATTGTTTTTCAGTAAAACAATGGCTAGCCTTATCTCTGGTTCTGTTGCATGTGAAAAGTGTTTTCATCAGCTGTCAATGCACAGATATTACCGGTTTTATATATAGAGACAGAACTTTCTACACTGACAGAAAGAACCTCCTTTGTAGAAAAGATCTTCACAGGCAGCTTACATAAACTTTGCTGGGGTTAGTTAAGAATTAAATGCCTCTGTTGACATAGTTACTGTATGGATTCTGATGATCATGTAATCAAGAGGCAATTCTCAGGTGATGAGTGATGTCGTAAATGCAGAAAGTGATTGGTCTTCTGCTGTTAAAAGGATATCTTTTCAATGCTACTGTTGAAAATACTGAAATAATGCTGATACTGAGACAACTCATGAATTGACTTCTTCAGGCTGATACACACTTCAGTTTTCCAAATTTATGAGCAGTCTAGCCCCCACACAATAGTGACTGTACTTCAGTGCCCAGCTGGTCCATTTTAAATTAGCAGTCATTATACTACTGAGTCACTTTTGATTGTTATCTGAAATTCAGTAATGCTTTGTACCATTCACCTGTAGTAGGTTCTTTTAGATTGATCCATATGTTTCCATCCTGCTGGTTAAGATTTCTTTCATTCTTCATCCTAGTCACTAAAGAAGTTTCTTGTGATCTTTTTTATGTGGATGTTATTGCTGTTTAGTACAGTGGATCTATGTCTGAGTATTTTTTTTTAAATAAAAGTAGCATTTTTATCCTGCATTTCCACTGAAACACGTTGAGTTGTTACAAAGCTTAGATGCCAAATTTGGCCATAATCCACTATGGTAGTTCTCTTCCTGAAGTGTCTGCATTCCTTTTTATGTAGCCTCCTCAATATTTCCAGCTTTCCTTGTTACTACATCTTCACTGTGCTACATTTTAAGAGTGTTTCCCTTGTCCAGTGGTGATCCATACGTGCAGTTTGTGGTCCTTTGCTGGATTTGCTCCACGATGTCCATGTCTTGTGTTGGGAAGCCAGAAATGGATATAATGCTACAGATGAGTCTCACCAGGGCTCAACAGAGGGGAAAGGATCACCTCCCTTGCTATCCTAGTGCAGCACCAACATAATGATACAGTTGTATAAATAGTATAAAAGCACAAATGTAGAAGTGGTATAAAACATACAGTGGTACAGCGTAGGGGCCAGAAGACTGTGAAGTATAACAGCGTAATCTGCTTTGATACTGAAAAACATGTAATTCTGTAACCATAACCCACACAATTCCAATTTGTTGGAGGAAGTTGGGTTTTGCAGGCAGTCCTTGTGGATGAGGCTGAGAAGGACCCCACCCTCCTGGGGCAGAAGTAAATGATGTTTGCCTTCTACCTGGGATACGTACTTGCAAAAGGAGGCAATCTCTAAGAAAGCAAGGGCATTCCATTTTTAACCTTAAATATAACCAGATAATTGCACATGGAGTAGGAAAGGACTAAGTTGCATTTGGGCAACAGTGAAATTAACTGGTTTCCAATTTCTTTCACAGTTTATTTCTCTGTAGCTGTGGTACAAGCAAGAGCCAACCAATATCATCTGCTACCAACAGGAAATTTCCATGCTAGTCCCTTACCTTTGACACGTGGTAAAGTTGCAACTGAGCCTGTGAGGAGGAATCAACAGAAAAAATTGAATTCATGTTCAAAGGTAAAATTTGACCAATGATGAACAACAAGCATGAAAGTAAAACATACGCTTTTGCTTATGATGTGTATCATTTAACTTCATCCTGTTTTGTTTTCTTTGTGCTATTTATGCAGTGGTGCAGATGGTATAAGTATAGAAATACCTTTAGCATAACTGTTTTCAATGCCAGCTGTCTTAATAGCTTGTCTAGCACTAACTACTTTTGAAGCGTCTGCTTTAATTTTCATTCGGTATTTGTAGAGAACATTGCCTAGAAAAATGAATTTCACTTTTTTCAGGAACAAAAAAGTAGGTTCAAAATGCAGTAGGGCAGATACATTTTTGTTAGCCATGGCTTTGTCAAGAAAATCTCTCATGACAGAAATTGTGTCACATTTCACTTGAGGCAAAATATGGTCTGCTTGCTAACAGGTCCATAGGTGATGATGCTCCCAAAAGTGTACCCTGGTAAGATTGCCCCCACAAACTGTTTAAAAACACAGTAAAGTACTCTACAGTAGCTACAGTATTGGTCATCAATAAATTACCATACAACAAAATAAAATAATAAACCAAATAAAACTTAAATTACTGTAATATCAGCTCCTTCTTTCTCCTCCTCCTTTTAAAATCAACCTTATGATTTGCTGTGAAATAGGACTGTTTTTTAGAGAGGTGCCACCCAACTTGGCTTCTGGGCTCAGCTGTGCCCTGCCATTGGTTGTTGCAGAGCCAGCCGGAACCAGCTGAGTCCGGCACGGAGCAGCCCTGACCTCTCCTCACAGGACTACCCCTGCAGCCCCCACTACCAGAACCTGGCCACCGACACCCAGTGCAGTGACAGATTGGTGTGATGCTGGTTTTCTCAAAGTAAGATGCTGTCACTTTGCCTCGGGACAGGTAAAGCCTTCCAGAAAGGAAACCTGACATCCACTTGTGCAAAAAAAGTGTTGGTGCTTTAGTCTTATGGTTAAGCTGGTATTACATAATGTTTTTACATGTAATCACTTAATGGCTGAGTTGCATGGGGGTATTTTGTCGGGTGCTTGGGCTATTAGGTATAGAAAGGGTAATGACCTTTGTGTACCCTGATTGTGTTAACTAGTACTCTAATTGCATCTCTCATAAGAACAGGGGTGAAATCCTGCCAGACCCTTCCTTTCTGCCTCTCCCAGCTGGGCCTCAGTTGGTCCAAGTGTTTATACTGTGTATTTGTTGCAGGTGTTTCTGGAGGTTTGTGGAGGTGGCTTCTTTGCTGAAAATTCAGCTGTAGAAATACTACAGTAGAGGAAGCTAGAAATATACTCAATGCCCTGGATCCTCTGTACCCTTGGCTTTAAAACCCTAGAGATTGACCTTGAGGCTCTTTGTGTGCTTTCTGCCATAGGCTTCAGTTTAGGCCAAGGGCTCAACTGGCCCAAGGGCTACTGCACATACTATCTCCTGTTTGATCTGTTCAAAGGCTTATTAGCACTCAGGATGGGAGTTGAAATAGTTCTTCTTTCATGTCACTTGATACAGAGGACCCACAATCTGACTGTAACTTGGAATATGCATTCTTCAGAAAACCACAGTGCCTAGGAAAGCTTGTGTTTCTTACTTGTTAACTGGTGGAAATAGGGCTGTTAAATTATGAATCACATCCACTGGGATATGATGTCCATCTTGCCATTTTATTCCCCAAAACTGGATCTCTTGTGCAGGTCCTTTGACCTTGCTTTGGCTTACGGCAAAATCAGATCTCAGAAGGATTTGGATTATTCTTTTCCCTTTCTCAAGCATTTCTTTTGCTGTGTTGCCCCATACAGTGATGTTGTCAATGCACTGTGGATGTTTGGGGGCTTTACCCTTTTCCTGTGTGATCTATATCTATCCATGGAAATGGTAGTGTTGTGCTTCCATCCATGGGGCAGTCAATTCCTGGTGTATTGTCACCCCTCCATGTGAAAGGAATCTGTGGCCTGCAGTGTGCTGCCGAAGGAATCAAGAAAAACACATGGGTAGCATACCACCTGATGACTGCCTTTGATTCCAGTTCATCCTGAAGTTCTAGGATGGCCAGTACAGCAGCACACAATGGTGCATGACTGTTTAGGCTGCAGTAGTCCACTATTACGCTCTACTGACCATCAGACTTCTGTACTGGCCACATGGAACTATTACAGCCAGTCTTGCTGATCACTCCTTGTCTCTCTCCTCAGTTTATCTGCTCATGTATGAGAACCAGGAGTTCTCGGTTGGTGCGTTATTGTTGGCCATGCACCTTCATGGTAGCAGTCAACACCTGCTGTTCTTTAGCACACACCTCACAACAGACAGGTAGGTCCTCTGAAAGGCTGGACAGGGTAGACGGCACAAGGTAGGCACTGGCCCACAGGTTTGGGGAGGAAGAGAGATTCTCTTCAAACTGCCAGAGCTGGCAGACCAGTCTATCCACAGTTCGTACCTTGATGTCTGTCCAGTCTGTTATCACCAGGGTGCTGGCATATGGTGTGGGTGTGTTCCATACGAACTTCCGCCACATGGACCACATGCACTGGATTTTGTCCAGATCTTTGGAGGACTGGAAGTTGTCCAGTTGCTGTAAATCATCTCTGCCACCACTAGTTCTCTCAGATACTCGATACGTTCCTCAGTGGTGGTCCACTTGCCTTAGCTTGCACATCTTCCTTGAGGGGACACCTTGCCTTCACACTCAACAGGAACTGCCTCCAGAGACTGTGGATTGTTGCACCTTTTCCAGTCCCTTTTCCAATTCCCTGGTCATTAATTAGGGATCCCAGCTGATGAGCTTCCCTACCCTCTGACCACCGGCCTCAGTAACCCAGTGGCAGAGCAACCAAGTGATAATTTGCTTGCCTGGCTGACAGCTGTAATCTTTCTGCACAATGTGAGCATTCTGGTTATGGAGGGATGTTTGAGAAACATTGCAACAAGGCAGGAAACATTTACCCTGGAGGAGAAGGAGGTGCCATTCTTAATTTCCTTACAAAGTTGCTCCTGGAGGAGGAGAAAGGTTTAATTGTTAATTGACTCCATGAGATGATTCCCAGAGTATTGGGATGGTAGCAATACATGGGCCAAACACCAGATGTGACTCAGGGCTAGTACTTTTATCATAGCTCTCACAGGCAAGGAAAAGCAAAGTGATGAACAACACAGCAAAAGCTGAAAGTGGCCATTAACATCCTGGACTTTGAAGTACAAAGCCCTAGAGTTTGCTGACCCCAGCCAGCAACTAATCACTGACCAGTTGCTCACTCACTCTCCTCACCCCTCAGTGGAATGGGAGAGAGAACTGAAACAGCAAAAGCAAGAGGAAAGCCTCGTGGACCAAGATAAAGATAGTTTCATTAAAATGAAAGGAAGAGGGCAAAAAAAGGCAAGTGATGCAAAGGCAGGCACTCACCATTTCTCACAAGCAGACTGCTGCTCAGCCAGTCTCTGAGCAATAGCTGCTTTGGAAAGACTCTACTCCAGTTTTGCCACTGAGCATGTTACATGGTCTGCAATATCCCTTTGCTCAGCTGGGGTCAGCTGTCCTGGCTGTCCCTGCTCCCAGGCTCTTGTTTACCCCCAGCCTACTCCCTGAGGGGGGCAAAGTAGGAAACAGAAAGCCTTGAGGCTATGTAAGCACTGCTTAACAATGGATAAAATATTGTTGTGCCATCAACATTGGTTTGGCCACAATTCTAGGAAATTCATGAGGAAAATTGACTCCATCCCAGCCCGACCCAGTACAGTGAAGAAACTATAAATTAGAGAAGTGGTATTGACAAGACAAATAAAAGGACAAGTGATAAGCTCTGTTGTGCATGTTAGTAAGTAAGGCAAAAGAGCTCTGGGCTAGCCAAACATTTAAATACTTGCTAAACTTCAGTGTATGAGCAATGACAATGCTATGATGATTGTGCTTGAAATGAGCAGTGCCTGTGCTTAGCTGCATTGCAGTCTTTGTTGCAGAATTATTTACAAGTGGCATACAAGAAAAATCAATAAAAATATGAAATGTTAAGAAAGATAAAACCATCCAGTGTGAGTGACTGACAACTACTAGGCTAAGGCAGAGATGGATGACAAATACTGTTTATTTTAGTATGCTGTAACTTGAATGTTTTAGCATTTTTAGTAGTCTTATTTGGGGAAGAGAGGTAAAATGTGGTTTACGTCACTTTGGAGCATATTCTAAAACCATGTTGCCTTTTCCTCTTGGCAGATGGATGCCTTCTAGCCAAACAGCAAGTCCTACTGCTGCCGCATGTCTGGCAGCATCTCTGAATGATCACATGACTCTTGATATGGATGCAGTCCTGTCAGACTTTGTTCGGTCCACAGGGGCAGAACCAGGTCTGGCAAGAGACTTACTGGAAGGTAAGCTTTCAGGACACAAGTATTTCCTGTGTTCACTGCTTGCTTAAACCACTAGCAAGTCATAAAAAGAGAACTCTGGTCTATGGAAACAGACATTTCTTAAGTATTTTGACTAGTAAGTCAACTCTTATAATAAACTGACCATAGATTATACTAAGGTAGGTGTTTTCACAAAAGCCTTTAAAAGTTCTTAGTGTTAGATTGCTGTATTTTAGGTTGTTAACAGTCATGCCTTAAAAGTATATGTGCCAGGGGGAGAGGGGAGGGTGCTTTAGCTGAATTTTGTTATTTTCAGCTGTCTGGAAGTAGTTGTAAATGTTTTGTCTCACTGTGCAAAGCAGTTAAGTTTTGTCTGAAATGGACTTACTATAAAGTGATAGAAAAACCAGAGATATTTTTGGGGCCCAGTGATTAATATGCATACCTGAAGTTCATGGTATGGGATTCAAATGGCTAGGTTGAAAAACATCTTAGAAGCCATATCAGAAAAATAACTGGGTCTTTTATTTTATTGTAGTTGTTTTAAATTTATAAGCTTAGAAGTGGAAAGACACGTCTGATATTTGAAGGCATTTTGTAATAGCTGGTTTTGTTCATTTATTTTGATGTTGGCTAACAATAATTGTTAAGATAGGAAGTTAGAGATCAGTAGATGATATCTAGATAGATTGCAAGGTGGTTCTGTAGGCTTGGTACATACACACTGGAATTTTTCTGTGAAAATTTTTTTTTTTTTTTTTTAAATCTTAATATGCTTTAAGAAATTGTGTGTTAAATCAAAGTAACTACTGAACAGCCACAGCAGACTTAGAAGTATACATTAGGGTATATATCTCTCTTGCAAGAGCAGTTTCACTTTATCATGCGTATGCTGAAAGCTTTAAAATTTGCTCTAAGTTCTTTTACTTGGGGTTTTTCAGTAATAAGGAATGATACATTATTAACACAGAGGTGCACACAATTTTGCAGTGTTTCCCAAGTCATCTGTGATACATGTAATAAAACCTTAGGAAAGGCTTGCTATCATTGGCTTGTTATATTTGAGAGACCTCTCTTTTGTCTGACTGATTTGATCAACCTGTCATTCTAGCCTAGAGTCTGTCTTGCTCTGTTGGTCTTTTTGACAAAGAAAAGGAGAAGGTTTTTCTCAGCAATATCAGGACAGATTGTTAGTTTTTGTGCTGACAGAGCATTGCCAAAATTTGAAAAAATGTTCCCACATATCAAAGGTAATTCAGAAGAGTTACTTATCTTGTTTTCCTTGCTATACTTTTTCCTTGCTATAAAGGATAATGCATCCAAATATATATAGAACAGTATTTTTCTGTGTTGTATTTCTCATTTCTGTAGATTAATAAATTCACACCATACATATTAAGAACAAAATAAGCAAAAGGCAATTTAATTTTTCTGAACAGGCTAATATACTTATGCATCCAGCCCAAATTATTTCCTCCTACACAGGAATTTATCAAAGTAAATGGGATTGTTGCTAGTTTCGGACAAGATGTGCTCATGGGAACATTTGCACGTGTAGTTGTGGATGCATTTGGTGTAACAGCTTCTAACATTGGCCATATGTTATGCTGATGGACAGTAATTGATCCAGTGGTTTCATTTGCTTAAGAGAGACACAGAAGGGACTGCTACCCCTGTACCATTATGACTGTCTTTTATGGTTGTCACAGTGTGTAGCTGCTATGGGTTGTGTGAGCAGCACTGAAACCCATGAAGTAACTTCTTAAAGATAAACAGTATGGTCCACAAGGCTATAGCAAATGTATTGCACCTGGTTTTGGAATGATGATGGCTGTATAATATTTTCAATTAAAAATTTTAAAACAGGTGTGCACAAATATTTCTGAGAAATTTCAAGATTTGGTTGTAGTTTTTAGCCCAGAATGACTGTCATGGAGTACTTTGAGCCAAAAAAGCTTGCTTGTATAGACCAGTATTTCCATGCAATCACAAGTTTCGGTCAGTTCTTCTAGGGTCCCATAGCTCTTCTCTCTTCCTGATATGCTCACAAATTCTACTGCTGTAACTCAGACTGAATGTTCATATTGTGTTTCTATGGACCATACACATCTTTTTCAGAGCCATTTCTAATACTGCTTCCTCTGTTCATCTCGAGGGAAATTTCTTGTATTTCACTGTCTTCTAGACAATCAAGGTTACCAGTCTCTGCTTCCTTATCCAGTTATTTGAATTTATTAATTGCTTTGCTTTGATTGTCCTGAGAATGCATCAAGACAGTATTGTGCACAATATGTGGTGTTCTCCCTGGCAACAAATGGGGAGTTAATTACACACTGACTGTTGTACAAATAGCTAAAAAATCTTTACATTGCCTATAGATTTTCTGAATTGCCAGAAGCTGCCCTAAATACTGGCTCTATTGATGTTTCTGTACTCTGCCTGTCCAGCTGGTAAAACCCCTGCATTTTTTTTTGTTGAACTTTTTATTGAGCACAGCTACTTGTCTCAATGAAACATTCCACTTGGTGTGCTTGACACATATCTTCCAGAAAGTGTCCATTCTTGATTTGAAATGAAGATCTAAAGAGTTTAAAAACAAATAGAGATGTACACACATATATTGGATTCAATTTATGTGTCTGATTCTTTTTGCCATCTATTAGTGTCCTAAAATAAATAATACTGTAAACCAATTGCTTTTCTATCTAATTGTGATAAGCTAAACATGTTTAGCTCCAAGTCTCACTTCCTGTCTCTGTTTTCTCTATCATTCAAAAGAACATATACAGAAGTGTTTTGGCTATTTTGGTATATATCTTTCTAGTGCAAAGATTGCCTTTTTGCAATTACATGCAACAATTATATGCTGCTGTTTCTATCTTTGGCCAAGTTTGCTCTAGTATTGCACAGGGAGCTTGTGGTCAAGTCTATGCTCAGGTTGACATTTCAGAATTACCAATTCTAGAATTTTGTGTAATTGCTTAGCTGTTAAGGAGTTCATATTTCGCAGACTTAAAATCTTAAATGCATTATTTCAACGGTATGAGAATTTGTCATGCACATCTGAAAATGAAGGTGAATATAGACTTTTAAAGATGCATCAAAATTAAAAATGGGGTTTTTTTTCTTAGTTCTGTCTAAAAAAATGATTTTATTTTCATGACATTGCTATGTCTACGTTTAGAAAGGCCTTACATATGTCTCATCTGCCATTCATTGGTAGATAAAATTGCATTAGAAATTGCTTGGTTTGTTTTTGTCCAATGCACAATTGTTGTTTCATTCCTACTTTTCAAACACAACTTACTGATTCTGAAAGGCCAGTTGTAGGTTACTCGCTGTTTGCTATTTATGTGATACAGTGATGGGAACTTACCTGTACAGACTTGGAGAGAGTATGAGGAAAGGTACGTGGAGGCAGAAGGGACTTAGCGTTTAAACAGCACGTAGACCTACACTTTAGTAAGGTCATCTGTCTTACTGTTTGAGGTTTTCTTGGGTATTGTAAAGAACCTTCTTTCCACTACAGTTTATTCTGATAATTTGGTAGATTTATAAACAGCCCATTTCTGCTGTTAAAGAAAAAGTTTGAAATGTAAGACTACAATCTGATATGTGTTGTAATTGATTCAGTTATTTTTTTATTAAACTGTATCCAGATATTTCAAAACTAAGGTATTTTCCCAATTTCAATATAACAGTGGTGATATTTATGACTGGATGTATTTTGTAAATGTATACCTTTTTGTGTTAAATAACCATTAAGCATAGCAAAGAATGTTAGATTTGTAGTCATGTAGACTTATATAACTGGTATAGTGTAAAGGATAGATTATGAATTATTTTTGAGCAGAGGTTTTGATAGCACAAAACTGTTTACATTATTACTCATATACATCTGTTAAAGATACACAGTCATATGAGTAATCAAAGTTTATTTCACTCTCTGATGTGATATGGATGCTTAGTAACTCAGTTTAATGATAGTTTAGAAAGACTTTATAGCTTTAAAGTGTGAATACTCCTCTCTCCCCTTTCTGCCCCCAGCTTTTTTTTTTTTTTTTCCTTCTTGCTTTTGAACATTGTAATAACTGCATGCCCACTTCTAGGATGAGAACCTAAGGTAGCTGAGATCATAAGAAAAATCCTTTCACAGGGTTTATATACAGCTAACCCAAACAGCATCTTATCTCTCTCAATTCAGGAGGCTCTCACCTACCCTTCTCTGTACTAGTATAAATTTTTTCTTGTGCCCACAGTGTGCTTGCATGCCTGAGCAATAGCTGAGTGAGCTGTTTCTGGGCTGAATTCTTCAGATAATCTGTCTCCACATTAGAGTCTGTCTTCCATCAGAAGCTGCAGTATTCTTTGTCAGCTCTGTTAGTTGCTGGCAATGTCTTGTGCATAGAACACTTCATGCTTGGTTTTGGTTGCTTGTTCTTCCTGGTACCTTACTGTAATTTTTATGCTGAAGGACTTCCTCTTCCTCTACTCGGTACTCCTTGATTTCTTAGTCTGAATGCTGTTCTGCACCACTCAGTCTACTTCCATCATTCTTTTCAGTTGAAAGAACAGCTTTCTACCAGCCCTGTCAAAATTCTTAGCTACTATTACTGCTGAATTATTAAAATGGGAAGCACGGTTCTTTCAGTTGGTTATGATTACAAGACTTTGCAATGTTCATCCTTCTGTTTAGGACTCTAGGGAGGACAATTGGTTGATAGCTATTTACACCTTCTTATCTAATCTTGCAGAGATTTAAAAATAAACACCCAGCAGGAATTACGTTTTGAGAGCCTGTACATCTACAGATGAGTGTCCTCAAATTCATGGTAACTTCAAGACATCGTAAATCTTGATGTTTTTATGATAATAATTATGAGTCATCCAAAGAATGTTGATTATGTCCCTATGCAAATGAGAGGACACTGAAAGCTATTTGCTGACAGTACCAAATAATAATTAAAATCACAGGTTGGGGAGAATATATGTCAGCACATATGTCAGCAAATTATTATAGA